ATAAAGAAAAATCAATGCTGCTGTCTTTAAACTTTAAATATTAATGAACCTTTGTAAAATAATGAAGCAGATCACCTGTTAGAAAAAGTGCTAATGATTTAAGTTTTGTTGTCTATGTTTTATGTTACCAACAAATGACATGCAATTCTGTTTCATCTCCCATCATCAGTCTTTCGTGAAACCTGACAAAAGTGGTTTAATTTTGAAATCTACAGCCATGATGCTTCCTCTTTAAGAACTTAAAAGGAGATATAAAATATTTTCCTATTATCGATTAGTTCCTGTTAATTGCATATACGGAGTCTATTTTGGAATTATTTTTTCTAGGCCTCTAGAACTTTAGCATGAAATTTACATTTGTTTTAGAGGGGTTGAAAACTATCTTTGGTCCTATTAAACTTAGTTTAATGAAACGAAAGAAAAGTAGTAGGTTTCTCAAGAGGCTTAGGAATGAAACAGAATTAGAAATGCCTAACTTGGTACATCTGCCTTTATTTTCAACATCATTTACACACACACAAATCAGTTTAAAATTAAGGCATATCCTTGGCCCTTTTTCTATAACAATGTGATGGTGGAGAGAAAAGAGGAAAACTTCAAATAAATAAAACAAACAAGTTTTGCTTCCTTCTCTATAATGATCAAAGAATCAACATATTCTGAAACAAGAAGAAGCTCAGCATTTAGATCTTAAGTTTGCAGATAACTGTTGGGACTGCCTATGTGATGTGTTATCACTATAAGATCATACACATCCAGTAAAACAACTACCTAACTCCCAAGAAAATAGGCTTAATTTTACTTAACAATTGGTAAATACCTAAATAAAAACATGTTTTAAAGCACAAAAATCTTCATACATTAATATATGCAACTTCCTTACAAAAATAAGAAGATAGGAGTAGGACTGTAACAAAATGATTATCTTTGTTAACCTACTAATTTTACATGTGAGAATTGTGTAACAACAGTGAGTTCAACAGCAGAGTGATAAACAGCATTTGCAAACTAGTTGTTGCAAAAGCTTGATCCATCCTGTAAATATTCTTATTTGCTTGATTTCATTCTTGAAACAACTTACCCAGCATTGCTAAGCATGCTTAACAGCAATGAGTTAAAAAGCACTTTGATGCAACACCTTTTCTCAAACCAATTTTATATTAATGAGTATAACTCAAAGGCAAAATACCGTAGAATTCACAGATTATGGTTCAGAGCACGACATTTGAAAAAAGAAGCTAGAACCCACAATAATTGAAACAAATCACCTCGGCATCTTTCTCCTCACAAACAAAGAACAGCACACCACGGCTTAGCAACACCACCCTACTGCCCATCACTATTCTACGTCCTGTGCATGCTGCCTATACTAATACCCACAACAACACAACACAGTATTTCTCTGTAACATCCACTGCTTGTTGTGAAAAGTCCCTTCTTTCAACTCTTGCTGTTTCCAGGCATTAAGGGCCGCATTCGTTTCCTGCCAATTGATATGCACAGCCCTTGCTCTCTTTGCATTATCCTGCACAACCCATGTCTTAGAATCATGGAGTTGGAAGACATCACAAAGGGCCATCCAGTCCAGCCCACTGCTATGCAGGAAAATATCTGAAAGGATGTCATAAGGAAGAGGGAACAGGCTAGTTTTCTGCTGCTCTCGAGACTAAACTTGGAGCAATGGGGAGCAATTACAGGAAAGGAGATTCCACTTGAACATTAGGAAGAACTTCTTGACCGTGAGAGTTGTTCAACAGTGGAATTCTCTGCCTCAAACGTGTGGTGGGGGCTCCTATCCAGGCTTTTAAGCAAAGGCCATCTGACGGAAGTGCTTTCATTGTGTTTTTCCTGCATGGCAGGGGGGTTGGACTGGATGGGCCATAGGGTCTCTTCCAGCTCTTTGATTCTAGGAAAACATAATCAAAACTTTCCTGACAGACGGCCTCTGTTTAAAATCCTCCAAAGAAGGAGCCTCCACCGCACTCCAATGTAGCATATCCCATTGTGTAACAGGAAGTTCTTGTTTATTTACTGTATTTATATACCGCCTTTCTCACCCTGGGTGGACTTAAGGCGGATTAGAACATACTAATGGTAAAAAATTCAATGCCAACATACAGTACACAGAAAAATCATAATAGCTAACTACTACATAAAACTATGAACTTAAAATCAATTAAAACCATGTCTTCCTCATGTTTAAGCGGTATCTCTTTTCTTGCAGCTTGAATCCATTGCTCTGCTGTGTTCTAGTCTCCAAAACAGCAGAAAACAAGCTTACCCTCTTCCTCAATGTGAGGCCCTTTCAAATATTTAAACATGCCTCTCGTGTGTCATCCCCCCTAACCTTCTCTTCTCTAGACTAAACATGTTTAGCTCCCTAAGTCACAGGGCTTCACTTCCTTTTATGATTTTACATTTACCTATAGAACAGGCATATGCAAACTTTGGCTCTCCCTCCATGTGTTTTGGACTTCAACTCCCACATTTCCCAACAGCCTAATGGCTATTAGGAATTATGAGAGTTGCAGCCCAAAACATCTGGAGAGATGGCTGAAGTTTGCCCATGCATGTTATAGAATCGTAAGTCTGAAATAGACTATTCTGACCTCATATCAAAGCACTCCTGACAGATGTCCATCTAGCCTCCTTCAACTTTAATTTCCATCTTCTTGCCAGCCCAGTGTTTTTGTCCCCTTAAATCATCTTACATAGAGCTACTGTGAGTTTTCCGGGCTGTATGGCCATGTTTCTTTGTTGGGAGTTGTTAGCTGCCCCTGACTGATTCTTGTCTGGATCCCCCTTTTTGGGACTTGCTCTTTCTTTTACTGTTCTGATTTTAAAGTTTTGTAAAACTGGTAGCCAGATTTTGTTCATTTTCATGGCTTCCTGCTTTTTTGTTGAAATTGTCCATATGTTTGTGGAGTTCAATGGCTTTTCTGTGTAGTCCGACATGGTAGTTGTTAGAGCGGTCCAACATTTTTGTGTTCTCCAACAACATGCTATTTCCAGGTTGGTTCATCAGGTGACCTGCTATAGCTGACTTCTCTGGTTGAATTAGTCTGCAGTGCCTTTCATGTTCCTTGATTCGTGTTTAGGCAACCTGGACACAGCATATTATTTGAGAACACAGAAATGCTGGACCACTCTAACAACCACCATGTCAGACTACACAGAGAAGCCATTGTGAAATTCACAAGCAAGTGAACAATTTCAACACAAAGGAGGAAACCATGAAAATGAACAAAATCTGGTAACTAGTATTTAAAAAACTCTAAAATTACACAGTAAATAAAGAGCAAGACTCAAAAAGCAGGGGAATTCCAGACAATAATAAATCAGGGCCAAATAATACCTCCCAACAAGTAATTCCCCCAGACAGGAAGCAGCCAGGCATTGAATCTGCAGGCCATTAAATGCTAATCAAGGTGGCAAATTACAAAATTCACACGTACCTAAAGCAGACGAGAGTTCTTTCTCCCACCCTGGACATCCCACAGATATATAAACCTCACTTACTTGGTTTCCAACAGACCCCTCAACCTCTGAAGATGCCTGCCATCTGAGTAAAACGTCAAGAGAGAATGCTTCTGGAACATAGCCATACGGCCCGTAAAACTCACAGCAACCCATTGATTCTGGCCATGAAAGCCTTCGACAGCTCATCTTACATACTTTCTTGTTGGGTTGCTGTAAGTTTTTTGGGCTCTATGGCCATGTTCCAGAAGCATTCTCTTCTGGCGTTTCGCCTGCATCTATGGCAGGCATTCTCAAAGGTTGTGAGATCTGTTGGAAACTAGGAAAATGTAGTTTATATATCTGTGGAATGTCCTGGGTGGGAGAAAGAAATTGTGTCTGTTGGAGGTAGGTGTGAAATGTACACACCCCATTTTCCCAGTTTCCAACAGACCTCACAACCTCTGAGGATGGCTGCCATAGATGCAGGCGAAACATCAGGAGAGAATGCTTCTGGAACATGGCCACACAACCTGGAAAACTCACAGCAACCCATAGATTCTGGCCATGAAAGCCTTCAACAACTCATCTAACATACTTTCTTGTTGGATTGCTGTAAGTTTTTCGGCTGAACGGCTGTGTTTCGAAAGTATTCTCTCCTGTTTCTCCTGCATCTATGGCAGGCATCCTCAGAGGTTGTGAGGTCTGTTGGAAACTAGAAAAATGCGGTTTATATATCTGTGAAATATCCAGAGTGGGAGAAAGAACTCTTGTTTGCTGGAGGCAAGTGGGAATGTTGCAATTGGTCACCTTGATTAGCATTGAATGGCCTTGCAGCTTCAAAGCCTGTACTAGTGGTTCTCAACCTGGGGTCCCTAGATGTTTTTGGCCTACAACTCCCAGAAATCCCAGCCAGTTTACCAGCTGCTAGGATTTCTGGGAGTTGAAGGCCAAAAACATCTGGGGACCCCAGGTTGAGAACCACTGCTCTATACAGTTGGTTCTCAACTTGTGCGTCCTCAGATGTTTTGGCCTACAACTCCAGGAAATTCCAGCCAGTTTAGCAGCTGTTAGGATTTCTGAAAGTTGAAGGTCAAAACATCTGGTATCCCACAGGTTGAGAACCGCTGCTGTAAGACATCTTCAAAGGCAGCCCCATCAGAATGCTAAGAATTTTGGAAGGGTTGTTGTAGGTTTTTCCGGGCTATATGGCCATGTTCTGGAGGCAATTTTTCTCCTGACGTTTCGCCTGCATCTATGGCAAGCATCCTCAGAGGTAGTGAGGTCTGTTGGAAGTAGGAAAAATGGTTTTATATATCTGAATTGCAATAGCCTGTGGGATGCTTGCCATAGATGCAGGCGAAACGTCAGGAGAAATGCCTCTAGAACATGGCCATATAGCCCGAAAAAACTACAACAACCCAGTGATTCCGGCCATGAAAGCCTTCGACAATACATCAGGAGAGAATGCTACGCAGCCTGGAAAACTCACAGCAACCCATTGATTCCAACCATGAAAGCCTTCGACAACTCATCTTACATACTTTCTCGTTGTTTCTCTGCCTGAGCCCTCAGGATCTGTGGTCCACACACAGAGCGGGTTTAGGAGACATATCCCAGCTGTGGAGGCACTGGACGGTGCCCCAGCTCCACACAAGAGGCGAAGAGGGTCTCCAGCGTTCACAATCCAGCGGTGGGTCGGTCTGGGATGGTTCAGGCATCCTGACACAACTCTCAGGAGGTCAGAGGTGGCTTCCTCTCTCTTTCTCTCTCTCTCCTCGCCAGGGCCAAAATGGGGCCCCCCTCTGCGCCTCGGCCCCGCGTTTCTCCAACGAAGGGAGCCACTGAGGACTTGGGGGTCGGGCTGGAGTCGGCCTGGCCCTCAGAAAGCCCCCTCAGGGCAGGCCCCGCCGGAAGACAAGAGCCCCAAAGGGGAGGAGCCCCCTTCCTCCCTCCCTCCCCAACTCGGGGGTCAGGGCCCCCTCCTCCTCCTTCTCCCTTCTCCCTCCAGCCCCCCGGGTCCCACGTGAGGCGCCCTTTCGCGCCCCACGGAAAGCTTTCCTTGTTACCCCCCCTCCCTTCTCCTCCTCTTCGTTTTCAAATTTCGCGTTTGTGCCCCAAGAGAGTAAAGCCCCCCTCCCCTCCCCCTCCCCACCCCCGGCCCCTTTATTTACCGCCATCATCAGCACGCGCGAGCTGTCACCAAGCGCGAGACACCCCAACCGGTGCCTGACACGCCTCCCGCGGCCGCCATTGGCTCCGAGCCTCTCGCCTCCCCGAGCTCCCATTGGCCGAACCGCACGCCACACTAAGAAAGCCTCTCCTTCTCACCCTCCTTCTCCGGCGGCGGCGACTCACTTACGCCATCAGCGCAAAGGCCTTTCTAAGGAAAGGGGTAAAAGAAAGAGCGGGAAACGGGAAACCTCTCTTGGATTTACGCAAGTGGCGCCGCCGTAGGGGCTCATTGCCTCGAAACCAGTTTGCGCGAGTTGCGTAACTAGGGCGAACGCGCTCGTTCTCTTGTTTAACCGAACGCAAGTTTTTACGGCATTTACGGAGCTTGGTAAAATCCAGTTTCTGATGGAGGAGGGGGGAATGTTAGCTCCGCCCCCCCCCGCAGTTCGTGACGCGCGAAGGCTTTGTGAATCGAGGGGAGGGGGAGGCGGGTGAAGTTTGGTTGAATCACAGGAGGGTAAATAAGGATGTTTCGGAGACAAAGGGACTCTTAAAGGGGCAGAGACCCATTTCGGCAGACCGGCTGTCCGACCGCACGAGTTTCTTCAGCGCAGGCCTCAGGAGACGGCGCCGCCGAGAGAGGGCCGCGTGTCGCCTCGAGAGCGTATTCACACGTGTTTCCAGGACACGTGTACGCACACAACAGGCGCCACCGTAATTCTGGGGACTCTGAAGCCTTGTGGAAGAGGCTATGGCTTAGATCAGGCCTGGGCAAACTTGGGCCTTCCCTCCAGGGGTTTTGGACTCCAACTCCCACCATTCCTAACGGCATCGGGCCCTTTCCTTTTCCCCCTCAGCCGCTTAAGCGGCGGGGGAAAAGGAAGGGGCCTGAGGCTGTGGAATGGTGGGAGTTGGAGTCCAAAACCTGGAGGGAAGGCCCAAGTTTGCCCAGGCCTGGCTTACATAAGAGTTTCGATCATAGGGCAACTCCATAAAAGGAATGAATGGGTGAAATGTTTTGGACGTGCTTCCTACTTTCCTGGGAAAAGAGCACGCGGTGGCTTTAAGTACTGCTGTTTGTTTTCTTTTTTTCAAAGTGTGGAAATCATCTTTACAATGGATCTCCTACACGGAAATCTCCTCCAATTTGCACACATCCATTGACTGCAAAATTAAAAAAAAAAAAAAAGGGGGGGGGTAATTACTGAATATGTGTGATTCTGCTGAGAAGCAAATAATATACAGAGACTTTGATCCTCATGGTTATTATGTGGATTCTCTCCCCCTCCCCCCCGAAATGGGTATGAAATAACGCCTCATAACTTCGCAAACTGTCTTGCAACCTATCCACCAAAAGCCCATATTTTGCATTCTGAAGCAATACCCTGTGCAGTGGGTTAAAGCGCTGAGCTGCTGAGCTTGTTGACCGAGCTTGAATCCGGGAGCGGCGTGAGCTTCAGATGTCAGCCCCAGCTTCTGCCAACCTAGCTGTTCGAAAACATGCAAATGTGAGTAGATTAAAAGGTACCGCTCCAGCTGGAAGGTAACGATGCTCCATGCAGTCATGCCGACCCCATGATCTTGGAGGGGTCTATGGACAACGCTGGCTCTTCGGCTTAGAAATGGAGATGAGCACAACACCCCAGAGTCGGACACAACATGCCAGGGGAAAACCTTTACCTTAGCATTATATAGGTGTAATTTTATGCAAAATCCACCATCAAATCCTAGCCCGTATCCACTACTCTGATGATAAGACCACAGTTTCTTGGCCTTTGCTTAGGAAAATCCAGGCTGGTGAAGGTTTATGGAGAATTTTAAAAAATTCTGAGTATTTGGGAGATATTTTAGTTGATCCTAACAAAGGTGTAGCCCTAAGAGGGATTTTTTTTCAAATGACTATATTGAATTGGCTATTTTCATTGAGCCGCATTATCACATTGAGCTGCATTATCACAGGGTGTCTGCACCCTACACCACTGGAGAAATTATACTGTTTAGCCAGTATTGCACAACCTAACATCCCCCAGGAAGTAGCAGCCAATAGTGAAAGGACCAAGGCAGTGACATCTCTGGCCCATCCCCTGTTTAGATATCAGGTAGCACGCCAACGCCTTAAATGAAGAAATAGTTTTCTATGATCTACAGAGACACTCACAGGAACACCTCAGCAAGTGAGAGTCCAAAAGTGGCAGACTAAAACCCAGAACCTTAATCTTTGGCTAATACTAAGTGAGAGACTCCCTCCTGGGCACATAGAAAAATGGGCAACTTGGAAGGCACTGAACAGACTGAGCTCTGGCACCATGAGATGCAGAGCCAACCTTAAGAAATGGGGCCACAAAGTAGAGCACAACATGCAATCTGAGCCCTGCCACATGCAGAATGGAGGACCTTCTTATAGCAACACCAGAGGCACTCCAAGTGGCCAGCTACTGCTCAAAGGTCATTTAATATAATGCCAAGTTTCATGTGGGGGCTTTTTTGTTTACTGTACCCTTGGTTTGCTCCTGATACGATAAATAAATATTGAAGTGATGGCTGAAAGCGAGGAGGAGCTGAGGAGCCTTATAACCAAGGTGAAAGAAGAAAGCGAAAAAGCTTTAAAAAAAAAACCCCAAGATTATGGCAACCAGACTGATTGATAACTGGCAAACAGAGGGAGAAAACATGGAGGCAGTGACAGACTTTGTATTTCTTGGCGCAAAGATTACTGCAGACGCAGACTGCAGCAGGAAATCAGAAAACGTTTACTTCTTGAGATTAAAGCAATGACCAATCTTGATTAAACAGTGAAGACTAGAGACATCACACTGGCAACAAAGATCTGCATAAAGCAATGGTATTCCCCTTAATAACCTATGGATGTGAGAGCTGGATCATAAGGAAGGCTGAGCGAAAGAAGATAGATGCTTCTGAACTGTGGTGTTGGAGGAAAAGATCAAATCAGTCCATACTCCAGGAAATAATGCCCGACTGCTCACTGGAGGGAAGAATATTGGAGGCAAAGATGTACTTTAGCCACATAATGAGAAGACCGGAAAGCTTGGAGAAGACAATGATGCTGGGGAAAATGGAAGGAAAAAGGAAGAGGGGCCAACCAAGGGCAAGATGGATGGATAGTATCCTTGAAGTGACTGGCTTAACTCTGAAGGAGCTGGGGGTGGTGACGGCCAACAGGGAGCTCTGGCGTGGGCTGGTCCAGGAGGTCACGAAGAGTCAGAAGCGACTGAATGAATAAACAACAAACACAAAATAAATATCAATCCAGGACATTTGTCATTAATATGTTTACAGAACACATTAATGCCAACTAGATGTGTCATAAACAATAGGCACAGCACTTTGTGGTTTTGCAATGGCACAGTCACATGGACCATTGCTAGGTATTTTGTTTTTCAGCATTCTAGGCAAGGTAGCCCTCCTTAACTCTCCCTTGTTTGCTAGACCACTGCTTCTTAAACTGTGAGTCTCAAACTCAAATGGGGGTTCCTTAAGCTCAATGTTGGGATCACGAAAGAAATGGCAACAGTAAATGTTTACACTGATCTGTTAGCAACAAGGTGCAGTGGACTTTGCAGCAGATCCTTCAGCTTGTCCTCCACAAAAAGGAAAATCAGCCTGTTTAGCAAGTTTTGAAAATGCTGAATTATCAGCAAATGGTTGGGTTTTATATCTATATACTAGGGGTGACATAAAGATTTATCAGATGGAAAGGGTCGTGAGTGGAAAAAGTTTCAGAAGCCCTGTGGCAATTTCGCTTCCTGTCTTCCATGGCAGCAGTTGTGAGCAGAGCTTCAGCCAGCACACCTGAATTTTGCTACTGCCATCTTCATTCTGCCGGTCCCACCGTTGACTTAGCATGCCAGAGATGAAGTTGGCACAGCCGAGAAATGAGCTAGCAGGGTGAGCTTCATAGGTCAATACAGACAATCCCCAAGTTATGAACTAGATAGGTTCTGTAGGCTTGTTCTTAAGATGAATGTGTATGTAAATAAGAAGGAACAGATACATTTCAAAGTGTAACTCCATATATATATTGGATAGCATAGGGAAGGGTTAACACCCCTGTGGTTTTGTTTTGCTATCTGTTCAGAAGATTTCTCCTTGTTGTCTTTCCCTATGATAATTGGATTTTGAAAAAATTGGCTTGTTGTGGAAATAAAGATTGGTGTAAGTCAGTGGAGATACCTTTCCCCCATAACTCTTTCAAGAGTGAATTTCCCTTCCTAGGGAGAGATTTTTGTCACTTCCTGTTGTCCCACCTCCATTCTTAATTGAGTCATTTGTAAGTCAGATATTTGTAACTTGGAGACTGCGGTACTGGAACTATGAGGCTAATGTGCATCCAACTGCCCCGCTATGAAAGGTAAGCTATCTGATCAGGGTTTATTGGTAATGGCAGCAGTGATAGTGAACAGAGCTTTTTGTTGTGCTGCCCTCTATGCTACACTCTCCCTCAGACTAGTATGGTCAGGAGGATCACAAAATCAGAGAGATGGAAGAGACCCCAAGAGCCATCCAGTCCAACCTTGTGCAGGATCACACAAGTAAAGCACTTCCAACAGATGGCCATCCAGCTTCCATTTAAATACCTCCAGAGAAGGAGACTCCATCATACTCTGAGGCAGCAGTATATCCCAATCACATACAGTTCTGACCAGCAGGAAGTTCTTCCTCATGTTTAGGTGATATCTCTTTTCTTGCAGTTTTGAGTCCCCCGTTCCATGTCCAAAGCAACAAAAATATTACATCTTTTCAGATATTTGAACATAGCTTT